TCTGCTGTTGAGTTGCTCTTCCAAACTCCATGGCGTTTTAGAGTTAACATATCAGCTCCAGCGTCAACTAGTAGGGTAGCTGAGGTTCTGCGAAAAGCATGTCCTGTATAAGTTTTAGGATTGGGGAGTTCTAAATACTCTGCTACTCTCTGTGGTATTTTAGCAATTAAATTTTTGCCCATAACCTGTAACATATTTCAAATATGATGATTGATTTAATATATTTATTTTAAAAACATTTTTATAATTTTATTTTATTATTTAGTGTTATTTTATTCTAAATTATCTGATTTATACATTTGTTGTTTTTATAACTGATAAAAAATCTGTTTGTTGTTGATTTTTGTGGACGTAGCATCATGTAATTTTTTATAAGGGAATGATGCTCTGGCATAATACCGAAGGATTTACTAACTTTTGTTTTTGTCTCATGTATTGATACAAGAAACATCTGACCATGTTCTTTTATATCAGTGGTTTCTATATTCGTTATTTCTTGGCAGCGCAGGGCACCATATACACCAAAAATCATGATTACCTGTAATTACATATATAAAGTTAAACATTTCTACCTTTTTATATAAATCTTGTTCTTTTTTATATAAATTTTGTTCTTTTTTATATAAATCTCTGTCATTAAATACATACCTTAGCAGCTAAAAATTCGTTATTTGGAGCTTCCATTAGAAATTTTTTAACTTGCTCATTTGTAAAAACACTTGATTTTTTAGGTTTATAGCCTTTGTTTTTCGATTTTAAAAATTGGGTGAGTGCTGTAAATGAGGTTATGTCTATTCCATCATTTAACTTTAACATTGTTTTTAACTTGGAATATGTTGACCACAAGGTAGATGGCTTATTTTTAGTGGCTAAAATGGCCATATAAGCTAGTAACACGTTTTCATCGGTGTTGATTTTATTTTTTGATTTTAACCAAGTTTGATAAGCTTGATATGCTTGATTGTAATATTTTTTAGATTTTTGTGGAATCAGTTTGGCTAATTTAGCGCACTTCGTTATGTTTTCTAGTTCGTTCTCCGAAGACGAACTACACTCGTTATCAAATATGTCACCCATTGTTTCTAACAACACTTTTGTCAACAATACTGTGTCGACAGGAATGTGATGGCACGGATACATTGAACACAATACATATAGCCCAGTCACTAGGTAGTTTTACCTGGAAAGACTCGAGGGAGTTTTGATATTTGGCATAGTTATGTAATTTGGTGCCCTTATTACAAATTTACATTTTGCTACCAAAAAATTGACGCGCCGGCGTCGCCATA